CCCCCCCCCGCCCCACCAGCCCACACCCGCGCACAGGAAAGGGCGCAAAGGCGATGCGGCGGGGAAGTGGTCCCAACAGACGATCCCGCCCCCGGGGCGGTGTGTCTGTCCCCACGCCCGGTCCCTGTCCGGCCCCTGGCTGATGGCCGAGGAGGAGGGAGGGGGGCGGGGGGGCGGGAGGAGGGCCGCTTGCGCAGGCTCGCATCGCGTGAATTCTTGGTCTCAGGGGTGATCAGAGGGCCCGCGCGGGTGTGGCGCCGCTCTCCTGAGATCAAAGATGCACAACAGCCAGAGGGGTTGGCTGCCTTCCTCGCGCTGTGTGTGTCCCCCTCGCCCCGCTCCTCACCCCGGCGGTGCTATGTGCCGGGGGCGGGGGGACCTCCGCATGCCAGGTGACCCCTGCTTCGGCGGCGGGGGCACCCGGCAGGGGAAGGCAGGGCCACGCTCCCGCGCGGCCGGGGAGGCCCCTGCTCGGGGGAACGCGCGAATGCGCGTGCCCTCGGGTGTGTGTGTGTGTGTGCGCCCGCAAAAGCATGTCCACCGATTGTGCACCCTTTTCCGGGCCAAGTCCCGGCGAAAGGGGGAAAGAGACCGGGGGCCGCGGCGGGGCAGGGGAAGGAGGGCGGACTGAAGGGCGGCAAGCCCGGCGCGGGGCGATCCATGGCGAAGGGCCACCCACAAGCCGCCTTGCGCGTGGGACACCGGGCTGGGCATCGGCCCGCCCGGCCCCTCGACCCGACTCACAGAAGGCAGCCGGGCCCGCATTCCGGAAGCCGCCGGGGCCTGGCCCATGGCCAACCGCAGGATTTGCTCGGGAGCACGGCGGCCGCCCCGCATCACCGCAGTGGCGAGCGCTGCGGCCGCATGTAGGCCCTTCCGGACAAGGCCGCCGACCATCCCCCGGGTGCCGGGACCCTCGCGCTCGTGCGGCTGCACACACACATACACACATGCATGCGTGAGTGCGTGCATGCATGCCCATGCAGGCTATGCCCCCGGGGGCGGGGGCTCGCGCGGGCGGTGGAAAAACCGCGCACCCTAAGGGCTACCCTGCACGGCAACAAGCACACCGCTGCCAAGGGCCGGCACAGGGGGCGGGGGGGGGGGGCCCCCGAAAAAAACGAGCCCACCCCCCCCCCCCGGGGGGGAGGGCCCCCCCCCTGCCCCCCCCCCCCCCCCCCGGGCTGCTGCCTGCTGGAATTCTGCCGCTTTCCCCCTCCACCGGGACAGAACCCCCAATTGCACCGGCTGCGCTCCCTGCGCCTGGACGATGTGCCAGCTCTCTCTCTCTCCCCCCCCCCTCCCCCTCTCTCCCTCTCGCCCGGAGAGCGCGAGGCCGCCAAGGGGCAAGCTGCTGGAGGATAGTGTTGTGGGCTTTGAGGCGGCGATCGCACTCGTACACCCCCACACCGGCCTTCGGCCCCAGACGGAGGGAGAGAGAGCGAGAGAGAAAGGGCGAGGGAGAGCCTGGCCATGGCATGCATCAGCGTGACTGCCCGGCACCCATCCCTCCGCCCTGTCTCTGGCTGGAGGCGGGGCGGCCGGGCGGCGCGCTCGAGAGCAGGCTGGATGAGCGTTTCAGGCATTTTGCTCGGCATCCCGCCCCCTGCCCACCCCCCCCGGGCGCAGGAGAGGCGCCCGGGGCGATGCGGCTTCTTGGCAGATATGCCGGCCGTGGCGGAGCGTCGGCACTTGTTTTGGAGCCCCGCATCCCGGGGAGGGGATGTTTTGTCGGCGCCTGGCGCCGCCCGGCGCCGGCACCAGAGCCCCCCTGCCGGCAATCCGCTGACAAGCGCGCTCCGGCCGGCTGGGTGACACACACACACATACACAAAGACACACATACGCGCTCGCAGAGCGGGACAGGACTCCAAGCTGCCAGACTCGGGAGCCAGCCACGGGGCGCATGCGCACCGTCCCCTGTCGGTTGCAGCCCCCGGCGCTCGCCTGGGCATCCGCAGGACTGGGTCGCAGCCACCAACGCGCGCGTACAACCATTGCACTCCGGCGGAGGCCACTCCTTCGAGCAGTGGCCGACATGGGGCACGGCCTGGCGCGCGATGGGACCGCCGGGCCGCCATGCCGCCGTGGCCGTCGCGCGCCATCCCCTCGCCCCCGATTCCGGGGGGGGGGGGGGGGGGGGAGGGGCGGCGAGGGGGGATAGAGGGGAGGAGCGGCCTCACGACTTGGCACCACAAGTGGAATGGTTCGTCGGCCAGTTCCCGGCGGTGCTTGGCGCGCCGAAGCCGGCTGGCGCCCGCGCACCCTGGCCGCCGGAGATTAACTTGGCAAGGACATGGGCGCCCCCGGGCCGGTGGACTGTTCTCTGGGGCCGGGGCGCCGGATCGCGTCCCCGCATCCCCCCCCCCCGCCCCGGTGCCCTGCCTCTCGGCCCGAGGGTCGAGGGCATCTGACTGGTCGTTTCCTGCCACAGAGCATATCCTACCCCCCCTCCCCCTCCGGCGATCCGGGCGGGCGTGTATCATGCCGGTCGGGGACCACCAAACCCGATACAGGAGCACGGCCGCAGCGGCAGACGGGAAAACGCTCACCGTTCACCAGCGGCAGCAACAAGGGGCGGGGGAGGTATCTCGAGAACGGCGGGTTGATGGGCGCACCGCCGGGCCAGGGGCCGGCACGTGCCGCCTGGCTCACCAGTTGCTGCTTGCCCACTCGCCCGGGGCGCGCCCTGGCCCGCCCTGCGACACCCGCTGGCCAGACCCCAGGGGGGGGGGGGGGCCGGGTGGGCGGGCGCGGACATGCAAGCACCGGACACCGCCCCCCAAAAGCACGTCCAGTGCGCTCTGAGGTGTCTCCGCGTGTGTCCGTGCTTGCGTCCATGCTCGGGCATGGGCAGCACCCGGACTCCAGATGTCCGAGGCCAGCTGCCGCTGCGCGCCTCTTCCCCCCCGACGGTCGTCGGCCCGAGTCAGCAGGCGGGCCGGAAGGAGGGCCTGCCTGGGGAAGAGGCCGACTCCTGGCTCCCTTCGGCAGACGCGAGGCTGCTGCGCGGACGGCGCCCGCTAGCCCCGTCCCACGGTCGGCCACCAGGATGCCCCCCGGCCCCGTTTGTGTCTCCGGCCATCACCCCACGAGCCA